GCACTGTGGGGTAAACCGCAGAAGCCTGTGCTGCATGGTCAGAAGACCAGCAGTCATAAGATCGAATCCACGCGACGGAGCGAGCTCCCGTCACTTTGTCCCAGCTCCTCGCCAACCTAGCAGTTCGAAAGTATGCAAATGCGAGTAGATAAATAGGTACCACCTTGGTGGGAAGGTAAAATGGCGTTCCCTAGTCATGCTGGCCACATGGCAACAGAAACTGTCTTCGGACAAGCGCTGGCTCTATGACTTGAAAATGGGATGAGCACCACCCCCTAGAGTCGGACATGACTGGACTAACAATGTCAAGGGGAGCCTATTTTTCAATATCTGCTACTGGCCTTTATTTGCAGAACCATATCTTTTTCTGGCTATGGTTTGTGGAGTGTGTTCTAGAGTGGATGGATGTCAAATGGGCAGTCCTCTGATTTGGGCTGGGAGGTGAATGGGGGCACACTTGGGTAAGTGAGGCTACTGATCTGGCACATTAGGGGGACATTTTCCACACCCTCAACACATTTTTCCCTGAGCATGTCTCACAATGGCTGAACATAAAGAAAGGAGGAGTGAAATAACCACCCCTGCCAAATCCTAGGTTTTAGTGTTGGAATTTTTACAACCTTGCATGCTGCCTGCGGTTTGAGTGACTGATGGGGACTTTTCTGCGCTAGGGTGGAGCAGGCACTGGGCTTTATCTACCAGAAACATCTTGATTTTTTACGCAAACTATTAGATTTATAATACTCCTTGGCAGCAGGATTCTGTGGTGGTCTCTCATGGCTGACATTTATCCCTGATAAGGTTAATTCCAGTGTGAGATCAGATAATCTTTTTCAATCATATTCATCTGGGTATCAAAGGATAAGTTGTTTCATTGTTGAAAAAAATTCCAGGCAACATTAGGTTGTCTGTGTCTACAAGCTTTATTTATCCAGTTACTTCTATGTTCCATATTGTTGTTGTTGTTTAGTCGTTAAGTCGTGTCTCTTCATGACCCCATGGACCAGAGCACACCAGGCCCTCCTGTCTTCCACTGCCTCCCGGAGTTGGGTCAGATTCATGTTGGTAGCTTTGATGACACTGTCCAACCATCTCGTCCTCTGTCGAAGTCAGGAAATGGATAGAAAAATCAACTATCAGTTTTCTGCTCAAGGTTGCAAACACCACAACCCATTCTTGCAGAACTTTGTTTGGTGTGTTATGATAGACAAGATTCATCACTTCACAAGTACAGCAGTAGCCACTGCTGCCTAGTCATAATAACTATCTTCCAGTTCATAGCAGGAAAAGGATCAACTTTAACAATACCTAAAACACATCCTACAATCTCTTAGATCAGAGGTTGCCAACCCCCGGTCTGCAGCCCTGTGCCAGTCTGTGGCCTGAGCCAAACCAGACCATTTAGACAGATCTCCCCCACCCCCACCAGCACTCCCCCACAGCCTCTTTGTGCATGTGCACCTGCGCCCACACAATGTGGCCAGAGCGAAACCAGACCACTTAGACAGACCTCCCCCCACCCCCACCAGCACTTCCCCTACAGCCCCTTTGTGCATGTGCACCTGCGCCCACACAAGCACTCCTCCACCACTTTATGCATGTGCACAACTGCCCCCAAACACCACGCTGCCCTTCGTGCATGCACACAAGCACCTGCACAAGCACCCTGCCACTCCTTTGCACATGAGCGTGGGGGGTGCCCCACCTTCCCCAACTGGTCCGTGGGGTCAAAAAGGTTGGGGACCGCTGCCTTAGATACAATTTCAAACTGAACAGAGCAAATTGAAGCTTAATCCAGAGAAGAATATAATTCGGGATTATTTGGTCAACTGGCAGTAAAGAATCCAGTTTATAACACAAGGATGCACTCCTTTTAAGAGTCAGGCTCACAGCCTTTGAATACTTTTATGTTGTTGTTCAATTGTTAAGTCATGTCCGACTCTTCATGACCCCATGGACCAGAGCACGCCAGGCCCTCCTGTCTTCCACGGCCCTATGTTGTTGTTCAGTTGATAAGACATGTCCAACTATTCATGACCCCATGGACCAGAGCACGCCAGGCCCTTCTATCTTCCACTGCCTCCCGGAGTTGGGTCAAATTCATTCTGGTAGCTTCAATGACACTGTCCAACCATCTCATCCTCTGTCATCCCCTTCTCCTCTTGCCTTCACACTTTCCCAACATCAGGGGCTTTTCCAGGGAGTCTTCTCTTCTCATGAGATGGCCAAAGTCTTGGAGCCTCAGCTTCAGGATCTGTACTCCCAGTGAATACTTTTTTACCCTGCCTCATTCCTCCAGAGACAAGTACCTCAAAAACTGTCTTTACCCTGCCTTATTCCTCCAGAGACAAGTACCTCAAAAACTACTGTACTTTGGTTGTATCAAGAGAAGGCAAGACTTGCTGCAAAAGATGATAATACTAGTGGAAGGCAGTAGGAAAAAAGGAAGATCTAACATTAAAAGGACCAACTTGATACAAGTAGTCTGTAAGATCTGAACAGGGTTGTTAATGATGAGACTGCTTGAAGGCTATTAATTCCTTAGAAGCAATTTGACAGCATATAACAAAATAAGTACTACAATCATTTAGAGGGGCTGCTGGTGGTAGACTAGTATGCCCTTTTCTTTGACAAACCATGACCTTATCAGAGCCAACAGGTCACAAGCTAACATCTTCATAGACTTACTACTAATTACATGTGTGTCAGTTAACTTTGTCAGAGCCATCCATGCAATCCCGTACCCCATCACACTGCCTGGTCCTATGAACGCAGTTGCCATCCTCACATCTGGTCAGGCCTGCATGTTCGAGAAACTGGGAGAAGAAGAGATGGTTGAATACTTCAGCTTCTGGCTAATAAATAAGGAGCAACCATTTGCTCTCCCAAAGGCAAACTGGTCCGTTACTTATAGCAATTGATCTCATCACTTCCACCCTTGCAGTCAATGTCCCCATCACAAGGTCACTTCTCGTGGAAACATTCAACTCCTGCATTACACAGCATTTCATTCTCTCCACACTTCACAGTGAGGATGGGCCAGAAATAACCCTGCTTTAGTGATTTATCTTATGAGTCAGCACTGTTGGCTTGGTCATCATTCACCTAGTCAACTGGGATACATCTGTCACCCGCACTTCTGTGTCGGCAGTAACCCCTTGGACATCATCACTACCATGGTGACAGTCTTTTTGTTCAGTGCAAAGTCTTTCAAAATGCAATGCCTCTTGGGACATGTGAATTCCTCAGGACTACAATCTAAGGGAAAAGGAAGACTATCTAGCAGAATGCTTTCCAAGAAATTGCTGAAAAGCAAAAACACGGCACCTTTCTCCCTGTCCCACCAGCTTCACAGGTGTATTTGGTGGGGTCACAGGAGAGGGCCTGTTAAAACAGGAATTTTTTTCCACTCATTTTGTTCTCCATGGTTGGCTGTCAGCTAAATAAGCTCACACATACCATAACAGAAGCAAGGTGAAACATTTGCTAACCTACTTTATCACTCAGAGACTGGTTCAGAAATCATGCAAGATCATGAAGTATAAGGACATGCCACTGGAAGCCAAGACCAAGATGGTCCACCTTATTGTATTTCCAATTTATGTGTGAATATGAAAGCTGGACAGTCAAGGAAGCTGACAGGAAGAAATAACTGTTTGAAATGTGGTGCTGGAGGAGAGTTTTGTGGATACCCTGGACCAAAAGAAAGGCAAACAAGTAAATCATAGGTCAAATGCATCCTGAACTATCTCTGGAGGCAGAATTGTTGAAACTGAGGCTATCTTGCTTTGGGCACAACATAAGAAGGCAGGATTCTCTGGACAATACGCTAATGCTGACAAAGGTGGAGGGCAGCAGGAAAAGAGGAAGACCAAATACGAGATGGACTGATTCACTAAATTGAGTCCACAGGCATGAGTTTGCAAGAGCTGAGCAGGGCTGCTGGCAGGACATTTTGGAAGTCTCTCATAGGGTCACCATAAGTCAGAGGTGGATTGATGGCACATAATAACAACAATTCTACTTTTGCACTTCTTTTTACTTTACCAGGAGGTGTTTCAAGTCAGCCATGGAAGTTCACTTGGGGAGTGTAATTGGAAGAGCAGCTCCTTAAATATCTCGCAAA